TAGCATAAAGAGTTGAGGGTGGCAGATTGCCAGCAAGCACAGGGGCATATGTGATTACATACAGACTGAGTTAGTCAATCCCACCAGCAGCAGTTATCACCTTATGACAACTGAAATTCTATTATCTCCAGGTTTTATAACTGCTTAAATTACTTTGCCTTTTGTTACTTGATATGAAGTAATAGCACTTTGTAAGAAAATTATTTACCTCGTACAAAAATATTCACTCACTTACCCTCTGCCTCCCCCTCCCCCTCCCCCCTTTTCGTTCAGTCACTTTTCCTGGCATAGCTGTTTCTGCAAAGGCCCAATCTCACTTTTCTTAATGATTTGCAGTTAGCAAGGATCTTATGATTGCAGCCCAAATGAAATTTAAAATCTGATTTAGAATGAATTGGTCTTCTCTGTGGAAGACTGTGGGGATGGGGGAGGAAACGGGAGGAGGGGAACAGGGGCTTAAACCTACTTCTATTATAGTTAGCAGAAGTTTAGTCATTGACATTAGTGAATTGGGAACGCAGGACTGGAGTGAATCACATCATCTGTTCTTCAGACATTTCTAATACTCCATCTTAAAAATTATTTAAGAAGGGCTGTGTCCTAGGGAGACAAAAGCAGAGGCACAGGAATGTCCTCCCATGGCAGGACCTGAGGCAGGGTTGACCTGCCCAGAAAAAGAGAGAGAAAGCCCTGAAAAGGGGGCATACTTACCTCCCCTAGGAAAAGCAGAGCTGTGTCAAGAAGGGTGGCTGGCATGGTTCATCAGCCGCTTTTATTGCCAGCTGGGGGCAGCGCCGGTAGATGACATCAGAAAAAAACACCACCCAGAAGATTCAAAAGTGGAGGAAGAGAAACAGCAGGAGAGGTAGCAAGGAAACCTGAGGGTGAAGCTACTCCCTGGGCTGCAACTCGGCAAAGCCTACAGCTCCAAAAGGGGCAGGATGGAGACCCGCCAGAGTGGTCTCAACTACATTAAGAAGTTTTTACACTCAGCTCAGCGGGACAGCCAGATAAAAGAAGGATGGTGTCAAGGGATCTTGAGGATCACAGATGCTGAGCTGATGAGTGGGGTGGGCAGAGGACCATGCCCCAATTTATCCTTTACTTCTTTCTTTCTTTTACTTTATTTTGGAGGGCACCTAAAGCCCGAACCAGGGAAAGACCCTCTAAGAAGCCTGGGTCATGAAGAGAGACTGAGGTGGTATTGCAGGAGCCTTGGAGGGAGCTCAGACACAGGGACTGAGACGATCCCATGCCTCTGTCATCCAGGGCAGAAGAGTAATCCAGGGACAGACAAAGCAAGGAGAGGACAGACAGGGACATCAAAAGGGGACAGGCCAGTGACCCATCATCCAGTGGTCCTGAGGGCTGGCGCATAGCTGGGGTGTAGGGGAGGTGGAGCCCCAACAGTGCCCACAGAGGGCAGAACCCGGTCTGCAAGAACCTGCAAGAAGGAGCCCCACCACTGAAGAAAAGAAGACCAAATCATGGCAGATGAGTGTAGGGGTCTCCCTCGGGGTGGAATGCGACCTAACACCCAGGTCCCAGGGACATACCCCTCAGCCGGAACCAGGTGTGTGCTGAAAGGCTGCCAGAGAGTGCCTATATGAGACCAGGTGGGAGCAGGCTGTTCCATTGCTGTTCCAGAGCATCAGGAATCTGATGGTAAGAATTTTTTTTCTATTTTCTGTCTTGAATTTCTTCATGGCCAGGTTATGGCTGTGAGAGGGTCAGTAAAAGCCCCTCTAGGATGTCCCAGACCCCCGCCTCAGGCACCCCAATACTCACCACAGAGATGGGGTTGAGCAGTAGCTGGGGAGAGATGCAGATGCAGGCTCCACAACTTTGGAGCTTCCTGGAGCTGCAGATCATGAGTACGGGACATGGGTGGAGCCTTGGAGAAGCACGGGAGGCTCAAAAACAGCTGGGAGAACAGCTGTGCGGCCGGCAAGGGAGGAGCGGGATGCCAACACAGAGACACCGGCAGAGCAGAGGAGGATCGCACAACCAGAGGGGAGAGAGAGAGAGAGAGAGTTGAGAGGTGACAGGAAGGCCCTGGTGGGGCAGAGAAGAAACCCAAGGCTGAAGAGCCAGGTGACTCCTGGGAGATGGCAGCAGGGAGCTGCTAGCCTGTGCCAGCAGCCCAGCAGGGAAGGAGCAGCCCAGTGAGGAAACCGTGCACCTTGCCTGCTTGGAAATAGCCAGGGAGTGACCCCAGATCAGTTGGGACGCAGAAGCAGTCGTGCGGGGGAGACAAACCAGGGTGGGAAATGGGGCAGCCGCCCCCCCCCCACCTTTCCATGGACACCGGAAGAAAAGGGACGAGTAAGTCCCCCCTTCTTTTTCTTTCTCCATTTTAAGTGACCAAGCGGACCCTGGGAGATAGGACCCCAGGGGCTTGTTGGCAGAAGGCCAAATATTTTCTGTTGGTTCATTTCTGAAGTCCTAGTTAGCCCTGAGACAGGGCAAGTTTATGAGTCCAAGCCAGCCTGAAGCCAAGGAACCGGCTGTGGGGAGATTGTGTTGGCCAAGAAGGCCCAATGCACTGCAGGTGGGTGACCTGAGTGAAAGGAGAGACCATCCAGGGGAAGACCTACGGTACAGCATCTGTCCAGGCCTTGTAAGTGGTGAGGGTGGGGTAAAGGGAAGGTTTGGAGCCCCAAGAAGAAAAGACTAGGATTGAGACCTCTTCGCTACTCAGCGGCCACCTAAAGGGAACTGCCTTCCCAACAAAGAACACCGAAGACATGGCAGGTGAATAAGGGCAGCACCTGTACCACCTAGGTGGCACCTGAGCCGAAGCCTCGTTCTGATATCACTTAGAAACAAGGCACCTACAAAGAAGAGACTGAAGCCTTATAACACCTACACGCGACAATGGCCATTTTGTTTTTACCATCTTTGTCTTCTAGTTTAAAGTGCTTTACTGCCTTGATGTATTTGTAGAAAGCACCAAGCTCCTTTAGTCTCCTTTTATAAGTTTTTCCAGTAGAGCCAGACAGAATTAACCAAATTGAGTTTCATAGGAAAATATTGATTTACTGCACCCAAAATGTTTCATAAAAACACCTTAGTTCTGAATGGCGCATCCAGGTTGTAGCCATATTGGTCTAGAGGAAAAAGCAATCAGGACTTGTGGTAAAGGTGATAACTTTTATTAGACCACTTAGATTTTGGTCAAAAAAAATCTTTAATTTCGGACACAAACACCCTTCATGAGGCATCAGAGAAAAGATTGTAAAAGTTCTCCTGGGTAGAAATGAAAGTTCATATTTCCATCTATTTACTCCTCTGTGGAATATGAAACACCATAACCAAAAGGAAATATGACATCACCCTGTTTACCACCAAACAACTTCAAGGTGCACAGACTATTCCAAGTTTTTCTCTAAACCTAATCTGCATATGTTCCAAACAGATTTTACCACATCTTCAATTCTCCTATGAAATATAAACTTTAATTTCTACCCAGAACTTTTACAAACTTTTCTCTGATGCCTCATGAAGTGTTCATGCCCAAAAGATTGCAATTAAAGGAATGTTTTTGCAAAAATCTAGTTGGTCTAATAAAAGATATCATCTCTTAGTTTTGAGGAGATTCATCAGTTTGCAGGCAGGGTTTATCAGAAGGATAATGAGAAGCCTGCCCCCCAACATCCTCAGCCCCAGGGCAGAGCTGCCATGTATTCTATCCTGCAACCTAGGGCCCATTGGTTTCGAAGCAACAGTGAAACTGACAAGAATGTACATTTTAGACAGGAACTGCAGGAAACAAGGGAGAATTGTTTGTTTCAAAAACATAATCTCTCAGGATTTCTGCCATGATTTTGTGGGATTTTTAATCCATGAACAATTGGAAAAAAATATTTTCATCTTCATGAGAATAAATAATTTAAGTTTCCTACAGTCCCCAAATCCTGAGTTTTGGTCAAATCTACCCTCCATTACTTGATCATCCTAGTAACCCTGCTCTACTTCTGGTCTAATTTGAGTTAATATTCCTTGACCATACATAACCAGAATTGAATATAGCATTCCAGATGAAGTCTCACCTGGGCTCACCTAGGATATATCTATCTGTACTGGAAATGCCTCACCTCATACATTTTAAGATTGCAGTTGACTTTTTCATGGCTTCATCACATTGGCTCTTAGTTATTTTGTGGAAAAACTAGTGCATTCAGATCTTTCTCTTCATCTATTGCTTTCAATAGGTGAGGCTCCAATTTAAAGCAGAAATTGTTATTCCTTATTACTACATCACTTTGTATTTTTACATATCATTCCATTTCTATTACTCTAATCCCAGAGGTCATCCACTTCCTCTTGTATGCTATATCAGTCTTCCTCTATATTGACAATACCACCAAACATTTCTCATCGGTTGATTTCAATATCACACTCCTACTTTTGAGGCCAAGACCAGTAATTAGCATATCAAATATAAAGAGTCCCAAGTTTATCTTTATTAGAAATCTCCCATAGTTCCTTACCCATATTACAATTCGTGTATGTGTCTATCTACTCACAAATAATATTGTTTCACAAATAATATTCTGAATGGCACCATTCAAATATTTTACTGGTGTCCAACTACATCTACCACAATTCCCTTTACAAAAAATAATTCGTTGTCTTTCAGAATTAAAATATAGTTTGAAACCCCTCTTTGGTACATTGGATTTTATTCCATTTTCCTTTTCCTTCCACATCTTATTTTGTGTTCCTTCATAATTTAGACCCTACAACCCAAGTTAGACTACAAGATACATAGTTGCGTATATCCTTTTCCCTTCCTTTTTCATTTATAGCTAAATGAACTAGCAGCTTGTTCCAACATAATTTATATTTAATAACCAAACATATATAAGACAAAAAGAGGAGCCTCAAAAAAAAAACAAACCTCAGATCCATTTAAACAAGTTTTATTTGTTTTCCTAGCCAAAAAAGACTGCTTTGGGTTTGTATTGAATGAGTGGGGGGAAAGATTATGATGACTCACAAGTATGAAATGTGAGGGAAAAGCAAACAGAAGACAAAAGGCAGAGCCAACCAAAATTAGTGAGGCAAAACTAGGTTTGCATAATACATTTATGCAAAAAGAAAGAGCCTATTATGTGTTGCAAGAGGATTAGGGGAAGTGATTGCTGAAGTCAGAGAATAAAGCTTTGCAAGGTCAGCTCCAGGATCAGTTAGTGATCAAAACCTGAGTGTATGTAGCTCAAAGCAACCACAAACACCACCTTCCACTCTAAATGTGTCTGGCTTGTTTCTGAAGCACTGAGATGATCCTGCTGGGCTACAGTGTTCTGCTCCTGTTCTGGACATGTTGTTCTGCCCAAAATGGTAAGTACTGTAGTTAAAATGAAAGACATATCTTAAAAAAAATTTGCTTGATGATGCATTTTATAAATAAAAGGAAAAAGTTGATATTACACTGGAGTCTGAGAGTTAAAAGTAATTAAAAGTTTGCCCTATGATCATCATACTCAGTTTCTTATAGTGCGAGTGATTTCATCTGTGCATTTGTCTATATTATGCTATGCTGCCCAATGAAACTAAACTGTAATCTAGTTACCAGCAAATGAACAAGAATCAAACCACCTACTACTATTTTTATCATCTTGTAAATCTATTAATTTGTGTTACAGTAGTTAAAGTAGTGAAATCTAGGGTCTAATAATTGCAAATTAAAATTGTAAAATGAAAATGACAAATATGTCTGTTACTTTCTATGTTGAATGATTAATAAAATATTCTGTAAATTAAATTTTGCTATACTTAATTACAGTAAATCACTAAGCAAAAGATTTATGACTGGGTTAAGTGCTTCCAAAATATCCATATTTTTTAATCTACTTTCCATGACTCAATGACAGAGAAATTATATTTTTTAAAGGGCAAAGTGTATGTAAGGAAACTTTTTTGCACTTTTTAGGTGAGCACTTTACAGCCGGCCTTGGAGTTCTCTGTAGCACAGAACTAACACTGAGAAAGGACTTTTTGATTTCTGAAGAGCTTGTTTTCGAATATAAGAATGTCTATATCCTTTAATCAGCATACATAATAATTTGCTATCCATGTCTGCTATCAGGGACCTGTAGCTACACTTGCAAGGGAAGAATTTCTGGGTGCTTTTAATTACAGATTATTTTACTGTTTTCATGGCTTGGGGCTTTCATTTGATTAAAGATGGCAGGTTAAGCCCAAAATATTTTTCAGGGGTTTTTTTCCCTTTCAGAAGAATTCAGTGGGCTAGAAATAATTTTAGTAGGAAAGTCCATAATTAAAACAGATTGTTTATTATATATTTCTATTTTAATTTAAACAAAACATTAAAAAATAATAATAATTATTAATTGAATTCTAATTTACAAAGATTTTGCCAAAATCTGTTATTTTCAAAACATCATTAATTATAAACCAGTACATTTGAAGTTTGGTGAGAAAACTAAGCCAAATCTGGTTTTTTTTTTATGCCCACCATCTATAGAGGTCAGTGAGATTATAAATTGACTTTATGTAAATAAAACACTATTTGATTCTGTGGGACAGATTTAACTAGGAGGTAAACTACTGCAAATTGGCAGAAAATCTATTTTCCACGGTGGAACAACTCTAGATCTACACTGATATATATTGGTTGTACAATTTGTGTTTCAGTGTTGGCCATCAATAATATTTATGTGAATTACAGATCTCATATTGTCTTTAAGAAACTTCTAAGGGCTTCCGGTTCTCGGAGTTTATTTTCTTCTATATTTTGAAGCTATTGTAGCAATTGTTTTTATAATAAGGTTCTTCCTAGACCTCAAATTATGGTCATATAATTGTGATGATTTAGATTCTAGATCCAGTCAGGTAAATACCAGTATTCCTATGGATTTAACTGGGGCTTGGATTTTGCCTTACAGACTTTAGGGTCTGAATTTTCTCCCAATTTCTATTTGTGAAAATTAGGAATAATTTAAATGAAATCAATAGAAGGATATCAGGTTGACTGGAATATAAGCCTCTAAATCATCTTCCTGAAATCTGTTCCATTCAGTGCTGTCTTTGTTCATGCCTAAGGGCTAGATCCAGATTGGTTCTATAAGTGCTTAAACAAGATTTACACAAAGCTCATGGGTCATAGGTGATATCTTTTATTAGACCAACTAAATAGTACCCCACCCCAAAAAAAGATTTAGGCAGGATTTAGGCATCTAAATTTTAAAGAGTAATTCATATTGGCAAGACATGGCTTTTGTATAATAACCTAGTGGCTAGATCTCTTGCCTAGGCTTGTTGCCCTTAGGCTGAAGAAAACTTAGAATACAGAACTGCCAATTCCTGTGCAAGTGATGTAGCTACTAGGTTATTATCCGAGAGTTGTACATAATTAGTGATCAGTTACTAGGGTCTGGTTATATAGTAATTTTGGGTGGCTTCTGGAGCTCTTAACCCCTGGATTGTCCACACATAACACCTGAAACTGGTTTTAATTACTTGATATGTGGCTCAACTTTATTCCACTCCAGGGTAGGATGATCCATGTTACCCATCTTGTGTTATATTGTGTGATCACTTTAAGCTACACCTTAGTGCAGGGGCGGGAAATTAATTCAGGCAGAGAGCCGCTTACCAAGTTCTGGCAAGCTGTTGAGGACTGCATGAATAGCCCCACCCCTTGACAGGTGCCCCGCCCCCTGGTTGCCATCTTGGAACAGGAAGTCCCGCCCCCTAACCCCTGACCTTTGCTGCCAGAAGCCCCTTCTTTTGTCCCCAGAAATACTCCTTTTAGCAAGGAGTTTTGCCATCTCAAAACCAGAATAACACCAAATTATATTCTAAAAATCAAACAACATTCATTAATTTGGTTTGAAAAAGTATTTTTGTCCTAATTTACATGTGTTTGTGTAGTATACATAGAAGTGATTGCACAATAGTTTAAAATGAAGTCTTACTCTTGTATACTGTGGGGGTGTAGGGGCATAGGCGTAGGTATAGGTTTCTGGGGGGGCTATGGATGTGTGGATATGTGGGAGAGGGTGTGGGTGTGTGGGGGTGGATAGGTGTGGGGGATGGGTGTGGGGTGAGGGAGCATGTGGGTGTGTGTGGATATGTGGAGAGTGGGTGGGTATGGGATTTGTGGGGGACTGTGTGTGGGGGGACGGTGCCTAGGGTGTATGAGGGGTGTGGGTGTGGGAGTCTGCATGTATGGCAGTACAAGGGAGTTGCAGGTGAATGTGTATGGTGGCAGTCACCCTACAAACACACACACACACACACACACACACTGTGTGCTTCCCTCATTACACTCTCTCTCTCTCTCTCTCTCTCTCTCTCCTTCCCTCACTGCACCTTCTGTCTGTCTCCCCCTCCCTCATTGCACAGACACACATGCACACACACCTCTCCCACTCCTGAACCTGGGGTACCAATGCTGTTCCATACTCCTGTGGTCCAGTGATGTAGCTGGGGGCCATGTGGTGCTGGAGCAGCTGCCCCTGTGTCCTACTGCCCCTAGCTCCTGTCATCATTGGCAGACAGCCAGGAGCAGATAAATATGAATTTTCTAAACTTCTTAGGTGCCCTGTGGGCTGGATAGAATGTCCTGATGGGCCAAATCTGGCCCACAGGCCATATTTTGCCTGCCCCTGCCTTAGTGGAAACATCACATATACCCCCTTTCCCTGATGGCCTGAATCAGGCCCATAGCCCCCCCCCCCCCAAACTCTCCTCAGCACAACAGATCCCTGCTCACTGCCCCCACCACTCTCCACACTTACATGTGGATGCCTGCATTGTCTGTCTCCAGGGAGCAGGCAAGGAAATGTTAACCTGCATGCCTTGCTGCTGCCACAGCCACCTTTGCTCTCTGGGTGGGCTCAGCCTGGACAAGAGTAGCAACCCAGCAGTGACAGTGGTGGCCAGGCAGGTAGGCTAACCCTTTCCTGCACACTCTCTCTTGGCATAGGTAGCACAGGAAGCCACAAGTAAGCAAGGGCATTTGGGGGTGGGGAGCAGAGAGAATCCCAATGGACAGGGAAGGAGTACTGGAGGCAGGGGGAAACTAGGGGAGCACCAGAGGGGCAGAGAGTGGGGAGGAAGTGCAGAATTGTGGGGGGGGGAGTGGTTGGAGTTTTACCTTTCAGTACTCTGGGCCCCCTGGTGGCCTGAACATGACTACTTCAAAGTTAAGCTAGTACTAACATGGATCAATGTATGTGTGGTTCACAGTGTAGCATTTCACATGACCCTTAGATAGCTGCTCTCAGTAAGGGGGCTAAGCATTCTGGATCTTAAGTAAAATGCTAGGCCAGATTCTGTTCCACTTATTCAGTCAGCTTAGATGCTGAAGTGGGATCCTATTACCGACAAGTTTTTGAACATGAATCATTCATCTGCCATAGATGCATTAATGGATTTTTAGGAATTCGAGCGGAGTGGAATAGAGTTGCATTTGTATACCTATATTCTCTTAGACTCCCATAGATGGAATAGGATATGACCCCTAATATGCAGCCTGACATAAAAGTTGAGACTCCCATGAAGGGCAGGTCAATGATCTCTACAGACCAGCTCTAGGTGCCTCCAACATTTTTAAATTGACTTTTGGAGCCATCGTTCTTTAAATAAAAAGCCTAAGTGTTTTCCTCTGAGTCACCCTCATAGGGGTAAGAAGTCCCCCATCTTAGAACTTGATATGAGCCCCTCCCCTCCCCTCTGCACCCTGCCATTCTCCTTGCAGTCTATTCCCTCCCACATGTCCCTCACCATATGCAGCCTCTGCTTCCCCACCTGCCCCACTTCATTCCCCTCTTAACCTTGCTTCATGCCTTCAGGTTCCATCCCCATTTTGGTCTGGGGACTAAGGATGGCCCCAGCCCAGCCCTGTAGCAGTGGCACATACCTGGCATGGCTGCTATTGGGGCTGGGCTGGAGATGTGCTCAGTGCCTGAGCTAGAACAGGGATGGAGCCTGCTGGCATGGGGCAAGAATAAATAGGAAGCAGAGGCTTGTCAGGGAAGGGCAGGAAGGGGAGCAGAGTCTGGAGGGAAAGTGGAAAAGAGGGGAGCAGGGGCAGAAGGGGAGTGGGGGCCCAAGAATGTGGAAAAGCAGTCAGGGGGAAGAGTGGGGACAGGCATAAGCAGGAGGCAAGCTGCTTGCCCTCCCCATGTCCCTGCCTTCCCACTGTATGTCCCTTGTAGCAGTGGGGAGTGATGAATTAAAGATAACCCTCCAACAATTAGATGTATACATGTTATAACTTTGTAACTTTATAAACAACAACTTTATACATTTTCAATGTAAATAATATATAATCTAATTATTGAGGGTCATCTTAAGTTCAGGGTCATCTT